GAATTCATGTGGTAATGGTGACTCTGTTTGGATTGTGTTATGGACTCGTGTATCGAACAGGGTGCTCATGTGGAAAATGAAAAGCAGTTGGTCCTCCATGTCGAAATCATCAAAATCTTAAACATGGGGTAAGCACAACGTGTGTGGCACCGTTCATTGCACAAAATCGGGTTTTGGAGGAGATTTTAGTGATCCTTAATTAGTGGGGTACTCCTACAAGGTGAAGCTAAGCTTTCTCTAGTACAAGTAAAACTTCCACCCGTTGAACGGTTTGCCTACTTGAGGATGTGTTTTTAAGGGTACGGATAGAGCTTCGGACCCCCCTTAATTTCATTGACCCTCCACACGAGTTGAGGAAAAGGAGTTAAAAGAAGTACTCTGGCGAGCGCCAAATGTACAGAAATTGCTCTTGCTCGACTAATAAGGGTCGACCGTGCAAAAGACTGCAGTTGAAACCCCCGCCGAGTGAATAAAAAGTTGAAAAAACAGTAAAATGAAAGTGAAAAAGGGATTCCAACGGTGAAATGAAGTGAAAGAGCACCCCGGTACCACGAGTCCTTGGTTGTGAATGGTGTGAGTCCCTTTATCCATGAACTGACTGTCTTACTTCTACTTCTTCTCATGATCCTGGCTTGAGTCTAGTACTCGCATTGAGAGAGATAGGAAACGTCTTAGAAGACCAGTTGACCTCGTAAGCTGCTATATGATCTAGAAAATCCTTACCGACGATCGGGGTTGTTTGTTGTTATAGAGGTCTGGAGAGTTGCATTGGTTTGAGTTAGGTTTGCTTGGGGACAAACAAACGATTAAGTGTGGGGGAGTTTAATAGACCATTGATTACACATGTTTTTACCCCTATTCTTGAGTCGTTCGAGATGTTGATTCTCGTGTTTTAAGCCGATTTCATGCTAGATTGTGCGTTTATGTCATATTTCAGGACGTAGTGTTGGCATCGAGGCGAAGAAACGAGTTTCGGGTCGAAGTGTGTTGGAGGAGAAAATACCCGGCCATGAGCAAAAATACCCGGCCGGGAATTATTTTGAGCAGACCGGGGAAAATGCGTTGTAGACGTTTGAGAATTAGAAGGGGGCCTGGTCGTGAGGCTTAAATCCCCTGTTGGGGATTCTTGGCCTTGACCGGGGATTTTCCCCTGTTACCCGACGGTGCGTTTTGAAGATACTCGGTCGCCACCCAAAATACCCGACCGGGTATCAGGCCAGGATCGCGACATACAACCTCTTAAGGGAAAAGAAGGGCAAAAGAGAAGGGGTTCCGAGTTTTAGAGAAAAAAGCGATACCTAGAGAGAGAAAGTGACGAACCTGATTCTGCAAGTGTCCTTGAACGATCTCCATCACCATTGGAGCCCGGCTTGAGCTTGGAGAAGAGCTGTTGAGTGCTAGAAGCAGATTCTCATCCTTCACAGTATGGTTTCCGCATCTGAGCTAGATTTCCGATCTCTCTCTATGGAGTAACTTTCTTATTCACCTGGGTATGAAGAACACTAGGATTGTATGTTAGGTCTGATTGTATGAACCCAAGTACAGATTCAGTGGTATGATTATGTTCAATTGAAGTTTGATTTATTGAATGGCATGAATCCTGATCAAATTCCTGTTGTTTCTGCTTTCACCTAGAAAGAGAATATCTGCCTAGGTTGATAGAGCACCCTTAATTGAAGGTAGTGGAGGTTTGGTTCGTTAGGGCCTCACACTTGGCCATTTTTTAGAGTGACGACGGTAGGAGCGAGTCAAAGCCTCTTGTTCTCTAAACCTTGGTCATAAGCTAAACTACTCGGTTCATCATAATTTATAAAATCCCTAAACTAGCCTTCTACACCTTACACGTCTTTGCTAATTATTAATTATATAAATCAATCAATAGCAAAAGCCTAAGCTAATCCCACCTCCGCCAGATGGAAAAAAAAACCCTATGAAACCCCAATCTTTCTTTCCCCGCCGCACCAGAGAAGCGGCGCAAAGGTTCCAGCAGCGGTGATGATTCGAGGCGCAACTGTACCGACGACTTTAGAAACAAAGTCCTCCAGCTGAGAGTTGCATGGAAGGATCGATGGCACACGCTCGACAACCGGAGTCCATGATGGCGGAGAGTTTATGTTTTTATGATTTCCTTAAGGGGATAACACAGCTACTAACTTGCTCGTTGATGGTAAGATGCTCTCCATTAAGGATCCAATATTGGTGATTGTTGCTTTTCTTTATTGTTTTATTATGTTTTATCGGCTAATTAGATTTTATTTGCTTTGCTGCCATGCCAGATGCAATCAAGTCAAAGCCTCAACGAAAGTAGCACTTTCTTGATTGAAGGGGTGATCAAGCAAAGGCTTTTCTCGAAGTGATTAATGTTATTTTGTAGGGATTATTATTTATTGACGAAGTTTATTATGTCGACAACTCTTGTAATTAAAAGACTTACAGGTGACAATAATATTGTCACAAATAATATGTATTTGTGATAACTCAAGTTCTCATTATAATTGTCGATTTATGTTGATATTTGAATAAAAATATTTGTGTGACAAATTAGATCGTAATGTATACTATAGCATACAATGCATAGTCGTCACAAATATTATCATATATGGCAAAATTATTTGTCACAAAAATGTGTTCGACAAATTTTTTTGTCACCAATGTTGCAATGTATACCAATAATATGTTACAAAACATAGTTTTGTGACAAGAACACATCACAAAAGTTGCATTTTCTGACAAAAATATTGTTGGAGAGGTGGTTCATTTGTAACAACTTAAATTGGTCACGGTTAAATTTCATTTGGTGACAATACAAACTCGTCAAAAGTGTATAGTATTCGTTACAAGGAAAGTGTATAGTTTTGTCACGATTGAGTATGTCTTATGTGACGAAAAACCTTGACAAGAATAAAACATATAATGTTGGTTATACTTGTCAACAATTGTTGCCTAAAATAGTGTTGCATATGAGAATACATATGCAACACTCTAATTTTTGTTGCAAAGGTGAAAAAGTGTTATCTATTACTTTAGGTAACATCACCTATAGGTGACACTACGAAAATTGTTGCATATTGCATATACAACACTTTCGAGACTTCTTACAACACATTTCATGTGTTGGCAAATGCAACTTTTCTCGTAGTGTATTTAAGTTTATAAGGACGTATAGGTAAAGAAAAATGAGTTCACATTCTCAAAACACAAACTCAACCATGTGACCAAAAAGTTGAGTTTGTAAATCATTCATTTTGAATGATCTCATTGTGTTTCATTTTTGGAGGGGAAGATAGATACTACACAATATATACATTCAATAAATACAATCATATAAGAATACCTATACCAAAATATGCCTAAATACATTTAATAATTAGGTTATCCTTATGTTGGTCATTGTTCCTCGTTCTAAGCTCTTAGATCTATTTAAGCTTCTTTTATTCTAATCTATTTAAACCTCTTAACTCCAAATAACTTAGAAATCACCATATAAAAGCTTTGTAATCATATATCATTTTCATTATTCGACCCGTACACTGCTGTAAAGAAGAAATGCCCTCCTTGCTTCAAATAAACTATCAATGGATAAAATTCTCCTAACAGCCAAATCTTTAGCTTGACCTCATCATCCATACAAGCCAAATCCTACCCAGTTTGTGCTTTCAATAATTATCATCAAACTGGTACTCAGAAATTTTTTCCCTTATCTCTTCAATTCTTTTTTTCGTTGCACTCTAGTTTTAAGTCATGCGAAACAGAAAATCTATGTGTCCTTAAGTAGTAAAGCACCGCATCATGCTTCGCAGGGCCATTGAAGCCCCTAGTATTCCAAATGAGAATAGTCATTTACAAAGAGATACCACCTTAGTGGTTCCTCCTACTTCGCGCGCCTTCTCTACCAACCTTCTTCTGAAGAGATGCTTTCAGTTTGATGCCCCGCTGGCCATAGGAGTGGTGATCTTCAAAGCAATCCTGGGTTTTGCCCCCGTTGATCACCTTGTTGAATCCTCCTCGGAAGGAAAAGCACTGAGTGATAGGGGGTAGTCTCTTCCACAACATTATTCCCTTTAGCAACCCCACTATCCCCTTCTATACGCTCCATTGTCTCATTTCCTGAAGCAATTTCAACCTCCTGTACACCATTTCCAAAAGCAACTTCTACTATTTTCATGAACTCATCAACCTGAACCTTAGTAACTACTAAAAGTGGGATAACTCTTGGATGTTGCACCCTCCAAGTCCTTTTTGTTTTTGTCCCTGGTGGACGCACAGAACAATCATGCCCCAATACTCCACAAGATGCACAACACCTAGGCAATCCGCAATACTCTACACCAATAAACATCCTCATTCATAACAATTGGAGTGACACTGATCCTATCCACCAACTGTTTTTTAGCACTCACCTCCACACAAATTCGGACATACCCAATCGTTCTCTCTAAGCAATAGAGTGATCCACACAACGCGGTTTACCTATAAAACTTGCAATACGACCCAACCTCTCTCTCAAAGCCAATTCCGCAGGAAGACCAGACAAATTAGCTCATACCGGCAGTGCTAATTAATTGTCAATCTCTAGAGCTCTGATCTTAGACTCCAGCGAGGGAGACAAACAATCTTGTCCCTATAATGCCACTGACCCCCTTTAAAAACCCAACAACAATCATATATTTAAGTTTATAAGGACGTATAAGTAAAGAAAAATGAGTTCACATTCGCAAAACACAAACTTAACCATGTCACCAAAAAGTTGAGATTTTAAATCATTCATTTTGAATGATCTCATTGTGTTTTATTTTGGGGAGGGGACGATAGATACTACACATATATACATTCAATATATATATTTAATAATTAGATTATAGTTATGTTGGTCATTGTTCCTCGTTCTAAGCTCTTAGATTTATTTAAACTTTTTTTTTCATAATCTATTTAAACCTCTTAACTCCAAACAACTTAGAAATCACCATATAAAAGCTTTGGGATATGTCTTTAATCCGTTACGAACAATAATGACCCTTAAAATAAGATTCTTTATTTGTGGATAAGTGATGATTAGTAATAGAGTATGCATAAGATTTTTATTTTCTACTTTTTCATCATCCGTTGGGGTAAAATCAGGGAGGATTTGGCACCGTCTGCATAAAGCAATAAATAGCAGAGGCAATAAATTAGAATTCGCCGGAGGAAAGATTAAAGCAGTCAAAATTAACGCAAAATTTTTCTTTTTAAAAAAAGGCACAGCAGATCGAGAGAGCAATCATGGGAATTGGAAGAGAAACAAACGCAACACCGCATCTCATCATCCTTCTTGTTCCAGTTCTGGCTTTCTTGTCCTGTGCCAAACAATGCAATTCAAAGGTTCTTCCGCGAAACCAAGATCACAATCAGCACGGCCGTGGCCTCACCGCCGACGCCAACCCTACCTGTAACGTTGATAAGGTCGTCGACGTCATGAATTTTGGCGCCAAAGCCGATGGAAAGCACGACGATGTCATGGTAATTTACGTCCATGCATGCATGCATGCTTCGAATTAAAATTCATACAACCTTACGTAACTTTTTTTTTCACCCGAATCAATAAACTAATTAACAAAACAAAAATCATGATTCGATTTTTAAAAAATGGGGCAGGCATTTATGCAAGCTTGGCAAGAGGTATGCAAAAAAAGCGCTCAGCCGGCGAAGCTTTTGGTCCCGGAAGGCACCTATATGTCATCTCCGGTCATTTTCCAAGGCCCATGCCTGAGCACCCAGCCGGTGATCGTTGAAGTCAAAGGAACCATCTTGGCCAACGAGGACTTGAGCGCCTACGACGAGGACTTCTGGTTCTTGTTTGAGAAAATCAACGGCGTCATCCTCACCGGCGGCGGAACTTTCGACGGCCGTGGCGCTTCCGCTTGGAAATACAACGATGGCGGCAGCAATTTCCCCACGGTACTTACTAATCAAATAAATTAATAATTGGAATTAGTATATGAGTTTAAATGTTGTGGGTGGTAAATGATGGCAGTCGATCAAGATGAACGATGTGGATAATGGAGTGGTCCACGACTTGTGTTCCGTGAACAGCAAGTTTTTCCACTTCCACGTGACGGATTCGAGCAACTTCACGGCTTACAACCTCCGTATAACGGCGCCGTGTGACAGCCCCAACACCGACGGAATGCATATTAGCAGCACCTGTGGAGTCCAGGTCTCCAACAGCGTTATCGCCACCGGCGACGACTGCATCTCCGTAGGCCCCGGCGTTACGAATGCCAACATCTTCGGGATCACCTGCGGCCCCGGCCACGGCATTAGGTGCGTAACTAATTAACACCTTTGTTTTTTTTCCATGCTAATTGAAGCATTCATTTAGGAAGAAAAGCTCTATTTCGACTTGGGTTTAGAAGTCACAATTTTTGCATCGCATATGCATACCAAACATTATAGTTGTGATGAGTGGGGTAAATACGTTATCCAAAAGCAAATCCATCTGTGTTTGATCTAAAGCGGACAATATTGTACTAATTAGCGATCAGATTTTCATTGTTTTTATCTGTTCTGAAACAGTATTGGTAGTCTTGGGAAAAGAGACGAAGAGAAAGACGTATGTGGGGTGACGTTTAGCAATTGCACACTCAGCAACACGACGAATGGTGTGAGGATCAAAACGTATGCATCACCAATTCAAATCAAGGCCTCGGATATTACTTTCCAGGACATCACCATGAACAACGTCCAGAATCCTATTGTTATAGATCAAAACTACGGCTCCAGGAAGAAGAAGAAAGGGGTACGTAAACCATTGTCAATAGCTAATTAAGCTTTTCTTCCAAATTCGACACTAATTAAGATCGGCAATATGTATTTGTATTGCAGGATTCGCACGTTCAGATCAGCAACGTGCACTACAAGAACATCCGAGGAACGACGCCGTCCAACGTGCCGATCACTTTGGCATGCAGCGCCGCGGCACCGTGTGAAGGGATCGAGTTCTGCGACGTCAACCTGGATTTCGTCAGCGATGATTTGCAGTCAAAGAAGCATCCCAACACCACCTTTACAGCTTGTTGTACGAATGCTAAGACTACGTTTTCTGGCCAGAACAAAGTACCTATCTGCGAGTAGTAGTGGAACTTTTGAATTCTAAATTTCTGACTACAACTTGCTCTCTGTGAGAGATGAATTAAAGACGAAGCTAAGAGTGTTTGGAGCTGAAACTAGCTGATGGGTATATTGATTTGATTTTTATTTGAATTTATTTTTGTTAGGATTTGCAAGATATGTAATTATTTGAGAATATGTGGGTATAAAGAAGGGTTATGGAATTATTCCTTGTTATTGTATTTGAGATTACTATGAAATGATGTAAGGAATTTTCCTAAACCTACTTTATCTCTCTTAAGCCGACCCCTCTCCCGCGATTTCTTCTTCTCCTTCTTCTACCCCTTTCTTTTTCTTCTACCTCTCGCAAAATTCTCTCAAAATGAACTTTTTCCACCAAAATCTAACTCCACAATTCTCTAAGGTTCACGTATCCATCAGTTTGGTCGACTGACGGGTAGTTTGGATGAATAGTTTTGAAAAGTTATAAATGAAATTCCTAATTAATTATTCAGTATCTTTCCATAATACATAAAGTAGATGGATAATTAATAAAAGGAATATCATGGAGATAATTAGGAATAATTATCTTAATAGATTATATTTTACTTATGGGAGTAATTATCTCCCTAATTAAAATATGACTTATTCCCAAAGAAAGAGGGAATATTCTGGGTTTTCTGCTCCTATAAATAGGAGGCGCCCCAGACCCTCTAAACACACCTCAGAGAGCAGAAACACGAGAGAGAGTGAGATTCAAAGAGCTACGGTTTTCCGCACAAAACCGCTGAGCAAATCAAAAGAGTGGCTGTTTTATCCTGGAGGCGACCGGCTAATAGTCTGATGTGCGAATAACGAGGCAGTGCCGCGAACGTCTTAAAGAGATCGACGTAGTCCGCGACTCAGCCAGATCGGTAACCCTAATTTTTCTGTTCGGTTTCTAACAATTTTAAGACGTGTGTTACTGTCAAATCGACCGAACAGATTATCGCATCTGGCTTGGCAAATCTCGCCCTAGCATGCTCGCCGTTGAGCTCGTGATCCCTTTTGAAAATCTCGGTCTGGGAGCTTGTAATCGAGATTCGAGACGCACGCAGAAGGAATTAACGGAAGCACTAAAAGGAAGCCTTTGGAATTTTGAATACGTGGACGGGACATGGTTTAATTACCTCGACAAGGTTAATTAGGAAGCTGGCTCCCTTTTATTTAGTTCCATTCCGGGCCAACTCTTGGAGCAGGCAACTGGCGATGGTAATCATGGTTTTACTACGTGGACCGTGAAGGAGGTATGATTAATCAATGCGATTTTGGAAGAGAATTTTCAATTTTGTTCTCTGGAAAGACTTCGCCAGGCCGAACGTCAGCGGTTTCTTTCCATGGTTGGTATTTTTATGTGTAAAACCACAATATAAATTGACCTTTTTTCTATTTTGGAAGAGAACGAGGCCGAGGGCAAGGATGAAAGAGATCCGCCCTGTGATACATAGTTAGCAGAACAGGAACTTGACTCGGGGTATGCTGTGATATTTAATTATCCCAGAAGAACCCAACGATGGCATATTGCGATCTCGTGGCTTAATCACTCAGGAACAAAAGCATGACGCAGAACAAGGAAGCTATGCTTGTTGATAGCTAGTGGTCGCAAAATCAGCTTGCAATGACTTCTTGAAAATAGGTATGAACCGAAATGATCCTCGTGATTCATTAATGAATGATAAATTAGATTCTATTTCATTAAGCTCTATGCATGGTATTGAGAACCATATGAATGTGAGAAAGTAAAAATAGAATTGATGCATATATATGTCGACATTGAGGTGTATTACCTCAATGATTAGAGTATAAATTGAATACATGTTATGGAGTAGAATGATTTTGTTTAAATGCATGCATATATGTGAAGAATATATGGGAATAGAATGGGTTTATTGCCCATAATAACGATATTGTAAGAAGTACTATTATTAGTACTACACGAACCACTTAGGCTGCTCTGAAACATTAAAGTTTCAAGAATGAGAGCAGCAAGCCGAACCAGATCCATACCAAATAGAATGGTACCCTTTGTGGTAACTATAAGATTGTCACCCAATCCTCTAAGAATGACGCTATGTTTCTCTCTTAAATTTGTGAGAAACTAGGTCATAAGACACGAAGGTGTATGAACAAGTTTAACCTAGTGTTAACTTGACTAAATAAGAGGATTTGGGGGTAATAATCACTAATGGGGTGATAGGCCTTAATGGCAATTCTGAAAAAAATGGTGGTTGGATATTGACGCCTCAAGGCATGCTTCTAATAAAGTAGCTAAGCTCAATAATGCATTGAGGCATATTGAAGGAGAAAGTGTTGTTGGGCAAGACCCTCACCACTATTGTTGTTGGTTCTGGGAAAGTGGAAGAGAACCCTACCTCTAGAAAGTCATTGACTATCCTAGACGTAAGGAATGGTTAAGTAGATAAGATAAATTCTTCCAAGTGTGTCTTTGTGAAGAATTAGAATATCTTATATCACATTCCCATATTATTATTGGATGCTTGAGAAAAATATGAATTTTGTATTTCCAAGCTAAATGACCCATAAATAAGTGAATAGATAATCAAAATCAATAGATCTGATTTATTTTGATATGGGTAAATGTGATGGAAAGGCAATAATTTATTTATTGTTTTATACAGTACTCTGATTGTATGTCTAGTTACTTGAGATGCTCGTGTTTGAAATATTTTATCGCATTATTGATGATTGCACTGATTATTTGATATGTTGCATGCTTGTGGTAGAGTTATAGAATCGGTGTAATATGGTATCGATATCTAGTAGAGCATATGAATGTGTTAGATAAGCTATAATAAAACACATAAGCTTATGGAATGAAATACTCATTGTTATGTGGAATTCATTGATGTCATTCCACTTAAATCTAGAAATAGTGGGGGTGATATCTTGCCTACTATTAGAAATAATGGAACTAGTCGGGGTGGTGAATCTGAGTATGAACTCAGAGGAAGCAAACAAACCATAAATCGATAAAGGATTTTGGTTATGAGTTTGTTATTTACATCCTAAGAAAGATCCTACAAGTCTGCTAGAAGTTCAAACTTCTGTAAGGTGCAGATTTGTAGGAAGAAGCCATTATTAATAAAATGAAAGAGAGTCTAATAAGACTTAGAAACTTGTAGAGTTACCTTTTGGTTGTAAAGCCTTAGGTAATATATCGATGAAATCGAACAAGTTTTGGCATCTTTGAGAATTACCTCCTAGCAATGAAGCAAAGGTAATAAATGGATTCTCAAAAGAAAACTGAAACCTAATGGTTTAGTGATGCTCTAAAACACAACACCAAACTGCGACCAAGTATAATCGCAGTCCGGGAATGCAGTAAAGTGACAAGTTATATTATCAGCCCGGGGTCTAGATCTACTGCTTACTTAGTGATTCTCTATTATCTAGCCAACTAAGTTAAGTGTTTGTTGTGTAAAAGCAAAAGCAGAAAGAAAGCAGGAATTGATACGGTTTTCTCAAGCAGGTAAGAGTATCTCGGGAATGAGTCCCCCTAGCTCCTTAGTTAGGTTTCAATTGTATTTCCCTGGGTTGATTTACTGTTGATTAGACTGCGGAAGATCCGACAGTAGCTTGGAATCTCTTAAGCTGACCAAGCCCTCTCAGTCTAACTACCCGGCAGACGACTAGTCTTCACCGGGATAGAAAGCTGAAACCGTAAGAACAGAACTCCACTACTGGAATTGGATTCCAGTACAAAGCAGTAAACTGGCTAACTCTCGTATAGCCAATCTCCTACTACCGAATGATGAGACTCTAGCAACCTAATCAGATTCTATCTATCTCGGATTGCAGCAGGAATCAGGAAAAGTTGATCAGACTTCAATTGACGCAATAAACATGCATCATTCGATTAAAATCAAACAGTAATATCATCCCAAGTCATTACAATCAATCCCTAACACATAGAACTAGGGTTCTTCATCCCCAAGTGAGAGAGGGGTTCTACTCCATAGAGATAGAGAGGAAAACAAGATACAAAGCAGTCATACTCATAACTATGGGAAGAATCTGCTCTGGGATGATGATTTCCACTCTTATGACGATCTCCAAGCTTGATTTGATGAAACCCAGCTCCAAGATAGCTTCTAGGATGTGTTCTTTGTCTTTTCTCTATCTAGGGCTCTGTTTTTGCTCAAAAAGTCCGATCTCCTCACTTGTGGCTCGAAATTGGCTGAAAAACCAAGATTTCCCGACTCACACGAGCAGGCCACACGGCCGTGTGGCTCACCCAGTTGCCCGTGTGAGTCAAAACGCGGCGTATCATTAAGTCGAAATTCAGGCTTCCCACACGTCCAGGGTCGCACGGCCGTGTGGGATTTCCATCCTTCCCGTGTTTGCTCTCGGCGAAAATCACACGGCCACAAATGTGAGTTGCACGGCCGTGTGATGTCCAGGAATGCCCGTGCGGCTTCATTAGCACCTCGCCACGCGTCCGATCTTCGTCCAATCGACCCCAAACTCGCTCCCAAGCCTCCATTCACGTACTAGGACCTGAAATATCAAAAACAAGCACAACCTAGCGTGAAATCGGCCTAAAACACGAGAATCAACACCTCAAACGGTGTAAGAACAGGGGTAAAAATATGTGTAATTAACGGTCTATCAAACTCTCCCACACTTAACCATTTGCTTGTCCCCAAGCAAACCAAGTCAGACACAAGGTAAGCTCACATATTTCAATCAACCAACATTGGGGACAAGTCATAAAGGCACAGAACACGTGAATCGTACTGGTTTTCAAACATCAATACATGAACAACCTCAATAGCAACCTGGACAACCACCACAAAGGACATTCGAGTGCAGCAAAATCGAGTAAAGGAAGAGTCTCCCTTCTGTTCACCAACCAACCTAGACTTGACTCAACCACTTACTCAAAACAGTCAACTCATACATCCAACTCAAGACATCAGAATAGAGACCGAGCAATCTAGGTCCTCACCGGGGTACAAGAGTATATAGAATATGAAAATGAATCACTCACTCTCGATCCGTGGGGTCGGGACAATTTGATGCGAAAAATGCGCATGCTATTTCTCTCAATCCCTAACATCTCTTCACCATGATGGCAGCCTCTAAATGCTAGAGTTCACATATGGGGTGTCACCACTAACTAATCAAGAGGTCTTAGACACAGGTTCCAAATGACTGGCTAGGG